GTGAGTGTTTTTGCAGGTAGGGATAGCGCGAGCATGGAATGAACGGGCATGGCACAAAGTACCGATTGGATCAAGAGCAACCGCCCACTCTTTGGCAGAAGAGCTGCCTTCCATAGTGGCAAGGAGTTTCGAACTTTGTCCACGAGACCCTGGAACTGGGCCGTCGATTGCTTTCGGATCGTCAAAGGGAGTCCCAAGTAGGTGCAAGGGAACGCCGAAACCGTGCATCCCAGGATGGTCGTAGTCTCCTCCACCTCCTCTTGAGAGCAGCGAATCGGCAAAATCGCGCTCTTGTTCATGTTGACCATCAAGCCCGACGCTTGCCCGAAGATGTTTAAAAGCGCAGCACAAGTGGTTGCATCCAAAGTTGTTGGCTTGAAGAATAAAACCACATCATCCGCAAACATTGACATTCGCTGCCGCAAGCCCGATCTGGCTAGGTGGCAGAGGAACCCCTTCGTTGTCGCATACTCGAAGAGTGCATGTAGTGGCTCCATGCAAAGGATGAATAACATTGGGGACATCGGATCCCCTTGTCGAAGGCCTTGACATGCCAGTATTGGTCTACGAGGGGCGCCATTGACCATGATCCTAGTCAACGACGTTGCCAAAAGTCCACAGATCCACGTCAACCATCTCTCCCCAAAGCCCATTCTCCTTAGAACCTCTAGCACAAACGGCCATTGCAACGTGTCAAACGCCTTAGTAATGTCGAGCTTAAGCATGACCGTTGGCCTCCATAGTGCATGCAACCTCCGGGCAGTGCATTGGACTAGCATATAGTTATCGTGCAGAGATCGCCTCTTAACAAACGCACTTTGGTGGTGCCCCACAAGCTTTGGTAGTTCCTCCGCCAACCTTGTAGCCAAAATTTTATCAAAAATCTTGATCGGTCCACTGACTAGGCTGATTGGTCTGAAGTCTTTTATATCCACCGCTCCTGGCTTCTTAGGTAGAAATGTGACAATGGCCTTGTTTATAGCAGCCATTCCCCTCATATCTCCTCTATGGAAGTGATCTAGCGCCCTCATGAAATCGTCTTTGAGCACCGTCCAGCAAGTGACAAAGAAGCGGCCGGTGAACCCATCCGGGCCTGGCGCTTTGTCAAGTGGCATCGACTTAATGATGTTGAAAACTTCCTCCTCCTCAAACTGCACCTCCACTCGGTGAAGATCATGGGACGGCAAATCCAACATATCAAGGTTTATCATCATCTTCCTTGCTGTCGTCGAGCAGAAGAGCCGCCCATAGTAGTCATCGACCGCGTTGGCTATATCCTCCTGACCCGTGTGTGTTACCCCGTTGGCCTGGATGGCCGTGATGATGTTCTTGCGTTGCATGTGCCTCGCATGTCGCTGGAAGTACTTTGTGTTGGCCTCCCCTTCCTTCAGCTGCAATAAGCGCGAACGCTGTCGCGCAATCGTCCTCTCCAGCAAGCACAACCCTAACAATTTCCTTTTGAGCATCTTGCGAAGATCGTGTTCCTGATTCTCCAACGTCCTCTTGTCCGAAGCGGCATCTAGTCTAGAAATGACTTCCATGGCCAAGGCAATTTGCAGTCGAGTGTTTCCAATCCACCTGTCGCTCCAGGATTGCAATGCCTTGGCAGTGGCGTGTAGCTTGTTATCCAGCACGGTAAATGGATTCCCCACCGACTGAATCGAGCCCCAAGCCTCCTGGACCGTATCCAAGAACCCATCCACCTTAGGCCAGAAGCACTCAAATTTGAAATGCTTGCCCATATGGAATTCAGCATCCGTATCCAGTAGAAGAGGGAAATGATCTGATACTGATGATCCCAGAGCAGTGAGCAAGCTATTTGGGAACAAGTCCTCCCATGTGTTGGTGACAAACACATGGTCGATCTTCTCTAGTGTCGGGTCTCTTTGTTCGTTGCTCCAGGTGTACCTTCTGCCATTCAGGTATTGTTCCTTCAGTTCAAGCCTATTTATCAAAGCACGGAACCTTGCCATCATCCGTCTGTTCGTGGTAGGCTTGTTCTTGTCGTCCGTGGAGACCAAAAGGTTAAAATCTCCCAACAGAATCCAAGGTCCAACATGTAGATACCGAATGTCCCTCAATTCCGTCATGGAATCAACTTTGGCCACATCACCTTGTGTGCCATATACCCCGGTAAGCCACTAATGCAGTTTCCCTTCCTGTGAGACTAGAGCCGTGAGCGTGTTGGCCGTTGTGTGCCTGTTCGAGAGGGAGACTACTAGGCTATCCCAAGCGATCAAAATACCACCGCGAGTGCCCACCGCAGGCACGTAGTAAAATTGCTTGAATTTATTACCCAGGCAATGTTTAACCACATCGATGGAGATGGACTCCATTTTGGTTTCTTGAATGCATACAATGCTCACATTAGCCGCTGCCACTACTTGATACACCGCATTTCTTCTAGCTGGCTAATTGAGACCTCGCACGTTCCACACGAATACTTTGGGCGGGTTTGAAGACATCGATAGTGCCCACCGATCCACGTGCCACCGAGGCTTGAGTAGCTATTATAATTGCCGCTAGGCATATCTCCTACCCTTATGGATTGATTATTTTTTATGGACATGCCTAATATGTGCTCTTATGTGCATCGTACTCAATATACTTTGCTACTTTTAGCCTAATGCACTATTTTTTGGGCATCATTGAGGAGGAACGCCAACAAAGACATGAATTGATACAGGAACCTAGGTAGATATTTATGATGTCTAATAAATTGGACACACTTTTAATACACTTTAAAATCGTCCCACCTTTATGTCTTCACGCAACACCATCATGTTGTTTCTCGTACAACATCATGAAATATTTCAAGGGATTTGCTTATGTCTTGAGTGTGTCTGAGGGGTGTTCTTTTCTCCGTCCCTTGTATGTCAATTATTTATCTGTTTTATTGTGTGAATAGAAAATATCCCTTGTATGTGTGTTATGACATGGTCAATTTGTGAACCGGTGACATGGTCAACTGGTCATCTCCCTTTATATTCTGACTTGGTGCCTTTTCCCATGCATATTGTGTGACCTGATATGGATTCCCCCCACTCCTCCTCCCTCCCCACGTTTCTATTTTTGTCACCCTCCGCCACTAAATGGAAGGGAGCTTGGGGTTTCATTGTTCGTTACGAGTATGGCAAGGTTCATGTTACGGCTGCAGGGGAGTTTGATCATGTTCGTAGTCCACTACAAGCTAAAGCAATGACGTGATTAAAAGCAATGGAAGGTGTTGTGAATCTTGGAGGAATCGTGTTATTTTCGAGTCCGATTACCAGGTCCAAGTTGAAGCTCTCAAGTCAAGGGAGTATGATTCTACAAAAGTAGGGGATCCTCCTGCGCAAAATGAACTTTGCAAAATTCAATTTTGTCTTTTGTCATCCGAAGTGTAATAAGCCTGTATTAACTGTTGCACCCTTCAATTACTCTAAAAGTCAAAACTATAAAAGAGGACCGGATATTATACTCTAATTCTTCCTCATGTCTATGCTTCTTTGGAGTTTATGACGGTGGAAGCGGGGGCATGCCACGATTATTTATTATATCTACTGGTTTTTTACTCTAAAGCCCCGTTTGATAGCTCAGTTTTTTCTAAGTATTATAAAAATACTGTAGTTTTCTAAAATACCATGGTTTTAATTACCGTGAGCTATTTGGCATCGATAAAAAACTGTAGTATTCAAACTATAGTATTGTCAAAACTGTGGTATTTTTTCTGCATTAAAAAAAGAACCACAAACCTCTTTTTTAAAAGCAGAGCACGCGAAGAAAACAAGACTCTTCGTGATCGTCTTTCTCGCTCTCAAGCTGCCGCCGCCCGGAAGATCGTTGGCCATGGGACAAGCCAACAGAAGGGAATGGAAAGAAAAATGGTGTCCTTCCTGCTCTCACTTGGCTCCTCCTTTCCTCGTATGTGTTGTGCATCAGGTTGTCCCCCGGGCAACTCATGCCGTTGTGTGCGATCATAACCATACCGTACGTGTGCAGCTCTATCATGTCGTGTCCTTGCTCGCCGCGGCTTGCCGTGCATGCGCTGCTCCCGAACGTCGCCCCATGCCTCAGTGCGCCCCGCTCGCCGCTGCCGGCCAACCTGCAGCCGAGCTAGAGCGACACCGCGCGCTTCCGTGCCGCGCCGCTGTGCTCCGACCGCCGCTGATGCATAGCATGCCGCCGAGTCTGATTAGGCTGTTCAATTTGCGGTTAGCTAAATTCATGCATGTTTGCAACTGCCATGAACGGCTAGCTAGCCACTTTACGTCGTTGTAAACATTCACCAGCCAAACACTTTCAGAGTATTTCCAATACTACGAAATGCTTTGATATGTCAAAACGGTGGTATCTAGTACCTATAGACAAAAATATTGCAGTTTTTCAATACTATAGTTTCTGCAGTACTTCACTATCAAACACAGCCTAAACCTTAAAGATGAGATGATGTAGGGCGCAAAATCTTTCTTTAATACTACATTGGCAAGGTCTTGAACTCAATACTGCGTTAGCACGAATTCAGTCAACTAATCCAAAAGTTCGAACTATAAGAAATAAGTGGATATTATATCATATCTACTCGCACAACACGGACTGAAGGTTGTTCTGCCGCTCTCAGTCTTGGCAGATGCCGGTGCCCCTGACATTGTTATTGGTTTGGTGACTAGCGATATGGCTAGGATCCAAAGGTTAAGTGGAATAGTACTCCCTCCGTTCACTTTTGTAAGACGTTTTAGGCATTTAAGATAACACCCAAAACAGTTCAATTTCAGCTGTCTTAAACGTCTTACAAAAGTGAACAGAGGAAATATATTTTATTTGTTTCATAAAAGGAAAATTCCAGACCATTCGAGCGCACGACCGAACCGTCCAGATTCAGCCGTGGGCCTAATTCTTCCCCAATTCTAAAAGCCCCCCGTCTCTAGACATCAGTTTCGTACGCTCGCTTACACGACGCGCAGATCCGAGGAAAGAAAAGCAAATCGTGCCCAACCAAACCCTAGCCCCCTCCCCAGCCCATGGCGAAGTTCGGCGAGGGCGACGCTCGGTGGATCGTGCAGGAGCGCGCCGACGGTGCCAACGTCCACAACTGGCACTGGGCGGAGCGCGACTGTCTCGACTGGTCTCGCGCGCTTCTCTCCAAGCTCCTCGCGGGCCTCCCCGTCCTCTCCGGAGAGGGCGGCCTCACCCTCCGCACCACCACCCTCGACAAGCTCGATGGCGAGGCCTACGTCAACATCCGCAAGGGCAAGGTCATCCCAGGGTACGAGCTTTCCCTCACGCTCGCCTGGGAGGCCGATGCCACAACCGAGTCGGGGGTCGTCAAGGTCACCGGCACCGCTGAGGTACCCTACCTCGCTGACGAGAACGCCGACGAGGACCCCGAACTCCGCATCACTGTTCGCGGTGACGACGGCCCCCTCGCGCGCCGGGCCAAGGATGCCTTCATCGCCCATGGCAAGCCTCTGGTTATTACGAAGATCCGGGATTATGTCGCCGCCATGGCGAATGGTGGCCCCGCCAAGGACGAGATAGATTCTAAGAAGATTTCCACCAAGGCTGCCCCAGCGGCCGGTGGCGCAGCTGTTGCTCCTGCTCCTTCAGTGAAGGTAACAGCAGCGCCAGTGCAGGCGCCAGCAGCTAAGGAGAAGAAGGCGAATGGCAAGGATAAGGAAGGATTCAAGACTATCGAGATGACAGAGAAGTTCAACTGCCGCTCCAAGGACATCTATGAGATCTTGATGGATGACAACAGGTGGAAGGGTTTCACACAGAGCAATGCGAGGATCAGCAAGGATGTTGGTGGGCAGTTTAGCCTCTTTGATGGGTCCATCACAGGTGTTAATGAGGAGCTGCAGGAAGGGAAGCTGATCGTGCAGAAATGGCGGTTTGGGAGCTGGGCTGATGGCGTCCATTCTACAGTAAGTTCTATGCTCAAAGACATCATTATGACATTGTGCTTGCTTGTGTTATGTAGTTGTACCGCTCCACCGTTCGGTATTTGATAGGGATGCATGAAATTGGCTCATGCTGAACCAAGTTAGCTTAGGCTCATCTAACAATGAATGAACAAGATTGGATGTTTGATTATATGAATTATTACTTTCATACAGTTAGACGTGCTGGTAAGAATGGGCCATCTGCGAATTCTACTCCCTCCGTTCCTAAATATTTGTCTTTTTAGAGATTTCAAATGGACTACCACATACGGATGTATATAGACATATTTTAGAGTGTAGATTCACTCATTTTGCTCCGTATGTAGTCACTTGTTGAAATCTCTAGAAAGACAAATATTTAGGAACGGAGAGAGTAATAAGCATAGAACTTGAGCTGTTGACTATTTACAGTTACAATTTACTTTCCCACTCCTTTGTACCTCCTGCCAAGTACCATCTGTGGGTAGCACCATGTTCAGCAAAAATTGGCATCTCTAGTATGGCATTTGAGGTTGATATAATTCAGCATATGATCAGTACTATTTTGTTTTTATGATGAGAGGAGAGATTTTCATATATCATACCAATTACCATGGACATATTATCTTCTAAGATTCTAGCCTTGTAGCCTTGTAGGTGGACTGAATGCTAGGCCTTGTGTAAGGAATGTCTGCCTGTTGCCATAGAATTAGTCTGTTACCATCAATGTGGAGTGATACAAGGACTAATGAGTCCAGTCTACCATTTTTAGAACATGAGTCCTAGCTAGAAGAATGGTTTCACTTCATATTGTTTTTTTTTTGCAATGAACTACTAATGCTGACCTTATATACTGTATTAATACTGATTCAATTTGGGGGATGTAAATTCTTGGAACGAGATCCTCTGACTTATCAAGGGATGTCAGAGTAGCTACAGTGGCCTAACATTCCTTCCTTGCAGTTATATCTGCATGCCGTAATATGCATATGGTTATTTGCCTACGTGCTCCATGTCTCTTTTCCTAGCTGCCTTACTAATAAATACTAGTGCTTAATATGCTTGACCAGCTGATATTTTCATCTTGCTAGTGATGTTCTGTAGATATAAAACGTCACATTTTTCGTTCAGGAACATAACCTCATTGTGCTGTAATGCAGGTCAGGTTGGTGTTTGATGAGCCTGAGTCAGGAGTGACAACAATAAAGCTCAAACAAACTGATGTGCCAGAGGAAGACAGGTACTTCAAGTTTTTGTGCTTTAAACTTTTGAATTGGTTAATCTCTACCGGTTTCGGCTCCTGTTGAAAGTCCTGTGTTGCCATTTCCTACTGCAGGTATGGGAACTCAACCGTGGTGGAGAACACTGAGAGAGGCTGGAAAGAGCTCATCTTCCAGAGGATACGTGCAGTGTTCGGTTTTGGGGTCTGAAAAAGCATCTTTGACATCCAGCTTCAATGAAGTCGATCCTGCCTTTTCATGGCTATCCATGTTTTGCTGTCTTAGTTTATTCGATGCTGATCGACACACAAAACTTCGTGAACTTCCGGGAATTGAAAAATACTCCGTGTTACCTTGTATTCATCACGCTGGGTTGTGCTTTGAAGTCGTCACTCATGAAAGTTTGAGCTTGTGACTCATGTAGAGGCCGGCGAAAGATGGTCGCTGAGTGACTATTATTTTTATTCCTTGCGTCTGTATGACATGGTACCAGATAAATTGTATTGAAGTTTCTAGTTCTACAAGCACCACTACGAGTGCTGCTTTGCTAAAATGTCGTGGAAAACCTCGAAAATAAGTGTGTGCGCGCGCATTGACAATATAAGATTTACTGCCCTGCTATATTAATATAGCAACCACCTGATACACAACACAATCACATCCAAAAGAAATGCTGGCAGCACCGGATGAACGAAAGCTGAAGCATCCAGCAATCGTTGGGCCGGATGAACGAAAGCTGAAGCATCCCGCAATCGTTGGGCCCACCGGAAACATCCACCACGCTCCAATACCATCGAGTCGCCGCGAACCAAGCAACACGGTACACGCAGGAAAGAGGGGGAGAGGTACTCCCGACCCACCGGAAACATCCACCACGCTCCAATGCTATCGAGTCGCCGCGAACCAAGCAACACGGTACACGCAGGGAAGCAGGGGAGAGGTACTCCCGATGTCCTTTCAAGAAGGTTGATGGCGCCCGCAGGCGTCATCGCTGTCGGTGTCAAAACCGGCGGATCTCGGGTAGGGGGTCCCGAACTGTGCGTCTAAGGCGGATGGTAACAGGAGGCGGGGGACAAGATATTTATCCAGGTTCGGGCCCTCTCGATGGAGGTAATACCCTACGTCCTGCTTAATTGATCTTGATGATATGAGTATTACAAGAGTTAATCTACCACGAGATCGTAGAGGTTAAAACCCTAGAAGCTAGCCTATTGTATGATTGTATGTTGTCCTTCGGACTAAACCCTCCGGTTTATATAGACACCGGAGGGGGTTAGGGTTACATAGAGTCGATTACATGGAAGAAGATCTACATATTCGTATTGGCAAGCTTGCCTTCCACGCCAAGGAGAGTCTCATCCGGACACGGAACGAAGTCTTCAATTTTGTATCTTCATAGTCCAACAGTCCGGCCAAAAGATATAGTCCGACTATCCGGAGACCCCCTAATCCAAGACTCCATCAGTAGTCCCTGAACCAGGCTTCAATGACGATGAGTCCGGCGCGCAGATTTGTCTTCGGCATTGCAAGGCGGGTTCTTCCTCCAAATACTTCATAGAAGATTTTGAACACAAGAATAGTGTACGGCTCTGCAAAACAAGTTCCACATATCACCGTAGAGAGAATAATGTTTCCACAAATCTAATCTGCTGACACGTTTAGCAATATGACATCATGCCATGGCCCGATCATTATTCGAACCATTTTTCTCAACCAGCACTGCACATAACGCGAGGCGGTTTTCTTAACACGTCTTGTCGAAGCATAGATCGTGTCCCCTTATCACAAGATTCTCATCAATACGGGTATGGGTAACCCAACCGCGCCATCAATTACGGCGTTCGGAGAATAAGCGATTTTACCAGGTAAGTGGGGAGGCGCATCGCCTCTTCTGCCCTTATAAAGGGACAAAGATTCACCCTTTTTACCCACGCCTTCTTCCTCCTTGCTTATCCATTCTCGCACACTCGAGCTCCAGCGCCCAAGTTCGCGTCTTTCTCCTCAAATCACTCCAAGCATGTCCAGAGCGGGAGGCAAGTGGATGGTCTCCTTCGTCACGGAGGAGAACATCACAAAGCTACGGGAAGCCGGATATCTGGCCGCGGACATCGCGCACCGGCTGCCAGATGCGGGGCAGATCATCTCTACGCCCAAACCCCATAAGAGGGTAGTTTTCCTTACCCACTTTGTCCGCGGACTGGGATTTCCCCTTCACCTGTTTGTCCGCGGGCTCATGTTCTACTACGGGCTGGATTTTCATAATCTGGCCCCCAATTTCATCCTCAACATCTCGGCGTTTATTGTCGTGTGCGAGGCCTTCCTCCACATCAGGCCCCACTTCGGCCTGTGGCTAAAGACCTTCAATGTTAAACCGAAGGTGGTGGTCGGCCAGCAAGCAGAGTGTGGAGGCGCCATGGTGGGCAAAATGCCTAATGTCACCTGGCTCGAAGGCTCCTATGTGAAGACCATAAAGGGGTGGCAATCAGGGTGGTTCTACATCACCGAGCCGCGCGACACCAACTGGGTGGCAGCCCCCGAATTTCGATCCGGAATCCCCACGTGGCTTATTTCCTGGAAAGAGAAGGGCCTGTCCCAGGGTTCTCCGATAGAGCTAACCGGACTCCAGACCTGCATCAAGAACACGATGAGCAAGAAAATCAAGCTCGTCAACGTAGTCCAGGTCATGCTCATCCGTCGGATCCTCCCGTGTCAACGACGGGTATTCAATTTGTGGGAGTTCGACCCGGCCAAGCACCAGGCGCAGCGAGAGCTTTTCGACACGACGCACAAGGACGTCTGGAAGGTGTTGTTCAAGGGCGCCGAGGTACCTCCTCCCCTTACTGAGGATCGCGGACTCAGCGCAAAGCGCCATGCCAATCCGATAAGTTTTTATATCTCACAGGATATTTATTTGCCCCAGTTTAATCATGTGCGGGATCTAAGCTCCCATGCCACTAACAGGACTGGGTAGAGACAACGGAGCAGATCGATTGCCCAGCCCCTCTACCTGAAGATCCTGCAGATTCTCTCCTAACGGAGATGCTAGCTCCGGCGCCTCACGAGGTGCTGGTGAAGAAGGCCACAGGGACCCAAAAGGGTCTCCGGCGCAAGGTTATATCGGACTCATCGCCCAATAACTCCGAAGCGCACTCCTCCCGCGAAAACAAGGAGGAGGAAGAGAAAAGTTCTCCCCCCCAGCCGGGGGAGACAAAAAAAGGAAGGCCGCCCCAAACGGGGAGGCCGAAGGGTCCAAGAAGGGAAGGACCCTCCTTCCGGACTGCTCCACGACGGCCGCCTACAGCGACGATGAGTGGTTACCCAGGGACAAGCCCCTGGCGAAGTTGTAAGTATCCGGATACCATAGTAATTCATGATATGTTTTATTGCACTGCTTCTCCTTACGCCGAATATGATTATGCAGTCCGTCCCGAGCCCGTCTCGACGTACCTTCGTCGGACGGTTCTTTGGACTCGTCGGATATGAATAGCGATTCACTTCCGACCGCCTCCACCCCTTGCCCTACGGACAACGTCGAGGTGTTGTCTCAAAAGGCACCAAGCCGAGGGGAGGTAGTCCTGGGGGCGCCTCGAGGCGACCTTCCGGACCCTAGGCGCAAAGGGAGCAAGACTCCCACGGGCTCCAAGTTCGGCCCCCAGCTGAACACTGCGCCGGAACCTTCGGTGGTTCCGGACTCCGGTAGGCGATCCCCCGTTAAGGGGCGCAAGCCGCCCGTGCCGGTGGCCTCTGTCCATCCAGAGGCACCGGACAACTTGCTGAAAGCGCTTCACGGCACTTCCATCGACGAAGAGCACCGCACTATCATGAGTGCGGTGATCGAGAAAGTTCAGTCCGCCAAAAACGGACTAACCGAAGCTTGTGCCAGCCTCCTAACAGGCTTTCAGGTAAGCAATCAAAATATAGGAAAATATTACCGCATAGACAGTAGCCCCTGATGCTCTTTTTGGCGTTCGCGAAGAAAGGCCAAATAGAGGATCAAATAATGACTCAGGAGTCTAATCAGAATATGTCTATGTGCATATGCAGGCTTCACTGCTGGCCGCTGCCGCACGTACTGCGGAGATCGCTGCACTGAAGCAGGACCTTGAGCGGTCCGAGGAAGAGCTCGGCCTTACCAAGAGGCAGCTCGAGGAGAGCAAAGGTAAGCAATACCTTGTCTACATATTAAAAAGAAATTCGGTTGTAAAGTAATAGGATCATCATGAATTTGCCAGGGGCCACGACCGAGGTGGCGACACTGAAGAAGGCGCTATCCGAGGCCAAAGACAAAGCGGCCAAGGAGCGCATTGAGCGGGAAAAGCAAGAAGCCCGGGTAGGCGAGGTGTAGCAAGAGCTCGAGGCTCTCGCCAAAAAACACGAGTCATTGGAGCTTGACTCTAAGACGCGAGAGTCCAAGCTTGCGAAGACGCTCGAAAGCGCACAGAGCACCAAGGCTGAAGCCCACAAGGCCCTCCAGGAGATTGATGCGGTGAAGAAGATAGCAGCGGGTAAGGCATTCATTATGCAAAGCAAGCATGTGAAGGAAACTTTCCTTTTACTTACCCGAGTTCGGAGCTCTCTAGGAGCGTTCGCAGATCTTCCCCGTAGTGTACTGGATGCCGCGGAGTTTTACCGAGCTGAGGAGGGGAGCTCGATGGAAAAGTTGTTCTGGTCTCAGTATACTGGGACCGAACACCCAATGCCCTTGAGCGACTAGCTAAAGCAACTGGTCGAGCTTCACAAGGTGGCCGAACAGGCCATGAAGGGTCTTATAGTCCGGATGTGGCATGGCGATCCCCTGCCTAGCAGCTACTTCAGTCTGGTGAGGCGGCTTGTGGATGCCTGCCCATGGCTTGAAGTCATAAAGTGGTTCGTCTGCATCGAGGGTGTGCGTAGGGCTTTTGCCCGGGCGAAGGTGCACTGGGCGAAGCTGGACGCCATAAAGCTGGTGAAGGAGGGGCCGCTAGAGGGCAAGGAGCATCGCTGCCCCGAAATGTATTATGACAGTGTCCTGAAGGGTTCCCGCCTTGTGGCGGAGGAATGTACTAGAGATGTAATTTTTGAATGAATATGCTCATGTGATCCTGTAATGTGAAACGAGTTCATTTGCGCTATGCAACGCTTTTTGAATTTAAAATATTACCTTCTGTGCGGCCGTTTATAAAATCTGATAGTTGGCCAGTCGTCGGCTTCTGCCCCCATGTAACTAGTAC